GGTCATGTACACCAACAAATAAACATAAACGAAGAGAGTATATAAGATCGTCAAAATATACCCAACATCACTAGTTACGTTATAACATTTTAATGAAGTGTGATTGGTTGCATTAAATATAGGGAAAAGGGTCAAAAATACCCATCAACTTCGTTTTATTGGTTGACTATGCCCTTACCATTAAAGTGAAGTTAATTTTACCCCTATCGTTACTAATTTTACCATATATGCCCTTCATTTGACGAAAAGCCCCAAATCAACTCAAATTGTTCAATTTTAATTAAAATGACCCGATTTTCTCTTTTCAATCCAAAGCCGACCCACTAAACCAAATGAATGAATACCAAATTAAAACCCAAACCCATCTCTCTAATATTCTTCATCTCTAATCCAAACCCGATTTTCTCTTTTTGTTTCTTTATCTGTAAATAAATCCATTCCCCGACTCCTCTGAATACATTTAACTCATTTCTTTTACCCATTCTCAAAAGAACACTTTAAAGAAACCATTTCTTAGCTTCCAACCTCAATACAACTGCTTCTTCTTTCAGTTCCTCTTTTATTTCATTTTATTAGAAATTTTGGGATTGCTTTGATTCTTGATTTCTTCAATCAAACATCTCAGAAATCAGTAGCTCAAATCAATTTCCATGGAAGCTATGCAATTACTCAACGATTCAGGATTATCTCTGCCAATTTCAGGAGGAATTACCCTCCGCCGCCGGAAAATTGTATCAAATGATATTTCAAAATTTGAGTTTGAATATCACGGCGGTTAAGTGACCATATTTTTGAAAGTATTGGAAAACAAAGGGATATCAGGAAAAATATGTGGGAATCCGTCTTGATTTCACACACTGCTTCTGTCAAGTTCAAATTTCAAATTCCAAAACCCAGAAATTGAATAACAATAAGGCCATGGATGAAGAAGTGCAGCTCAATTCGATGTGCCGGAAAAGCCAATCGATGGTCCCTTAATGGCATGAATGCCCTTGTCCCTGGCGGTGGCACTAGAGGCATTGGGTCCGTAATGCTCCCCTTCTTTACACTTTTTTCGACCGTTCGGCGGTAAGTGGAACTCGACGAGATCACCGTTGATAATCCATGTGCCTGTGTGCTTGATATATGATATTAGTTAATGGATTTAGTTGTTGTATTTATGAATACTGATTCAGTGATAATGAAAATGTTTTCCTTTTTTGCATAAAAAAAAAGGGGGTTTGAAATCTTGTTTTTCAAAAGAACACTAAGCTTGTAAAATCAGATTGAAACAATCTTTGATCTCGTGAATTTACTTCGTTATTTTGGGAGGGGAAATCGGGAAAGTGTTGCTAAGGAGGAGAAGACATGAACTAGGGATTTTAATTGGTATGAGTTTCTTTAGTATAGCGGGTCGAGTTTGGGTTAAATAGACAATTGGGTAATTTCAATTGAAATCGGGTTAATTTGAGTTGATTTGGGGCTTTTTGTCAAATGAGGGATATATATGGTGAAATTAGTAACGGTAAGGGTAAAACTAACTTTACTTTAACGGTAAGAACATAATCAACCAATAAAACAAAGTTGATGGATATTTTTGACCCTTTTCCCTTAAATATATGCACGCATTTAAGTCATATGCCTTATATTTTATATTTTTTTAATGCAAGATAGAATGTGAAAAAATAAAGTGCATAATCAATAAGGAGATTAAAATAGTTATAAACAAAAATGTTCTTATTATATTCCCTCCATTCCATATTAATTGAATTTTTGAGGTGTTTCACACCCTTTAAGAAAAGTATATTAAGACATAAATTAAAACTAGTTTTTCATTTTTACCCTTATTAATTATTGTCAAATTTATTGAAGTCATCACATTGAAAATCCAAATGAAGGGTAAAATTGGAAGAACACTTAGTCTTGAAAACTGAACAATTAAGTTAATTTGAAAATAAAAATGCCTCAAAAATTCAATTAATATGAAATAGAGGGAGTATTATTCTTTAAATAACAATCTCTACATTTTTGTCACAATATAACAATTCGTTCATTGTTCACTGCATAAAAAAAAAAAAAAACAAGTTTTAGTAACATTTCTATTATATATATCTTATCACTAATTTATTTATGTTAAAAAAAATTGAGAAATTATTTTATATTCCCTTCGTGATGTCATGCGACTAATTAAATTACTCAATATTGTTAAGTCTAATCGTGATTATTTTTAATTTTTATAGGCTAGGAGGTGAAGTTACGTTTGGAGTTAGTGAAGCTATAAGTTTACGTCAGTAATGGCGATTTCTAATATGTACTCCCTCCGTCCCTATTTAGTTGTCCATATTTCCTCTTTTAGTTGTCCCTATTTAATTGTCCATTTTGACAAATCAAGAAAGGACAATAATTTTTTTCCTATTATACCCTTGTTTAAAGTGAAAAGTTGTCATAAATAAAGTAAATAAACTTATGAACTTTTCAGCATTGATTAGTTATCTTGAGTGAATTTATTTGGAAGTAAATTGTACTATAAGGATAAAATTGTAATTTCACTATGCTAATTATTGTTGCCTTAATCTGTGTGATATTTCTAAAGTGGACAACTAAATAGGGACGGAGGGAGTACTTTATATAAATATCAACGTCATTGTGTTGAAATTTGTATTGAACATACTAGAATTTGACTTCAACAAGGCAACTCAATTTCCAAGTAAAACTAATTTCATTTTTTCTTCCATATCTCCACGTACAATTTCTGTTAAAAATCTATAGTTTTATGTGTGCGCGTGCTAACACTTACATGTATAAAGATATCCGTCTCAAAATAATTGTTATATTTTATTTTTGAGAGTCAAATTATATAAACTTCCATCAATAATATCCTAAGATGTATTTTTTCATTATATTAATATGAAAGAATTGCAACTTAAATTATTTTGTACATTTTTTTCATATTTAAATTTTAATTTAAAAGATTGAATTAATTTAATCTAATTTAATTTTGATTATTAGTCAAATTGACCCTTGAGAAGTAAAATGTGACAACTATTTTGAGACGAGGAGCACAAAACTCCAACACAAAAATATTTGATCGACTTCTTTACTCATAAGTGTATTATTGGATAAAATAATTGTAAATATAGTTAAACTTTTAAAAAATTTATTGCTTCCTTTTAGTATTTAGTTGACCCTTAAAATAATTAAAATAAAACTTATATTTTATTGTATGGTGATGTATGATTTTTAGAAAATAAAAAAATCATTATATTCTTGAGTCATGACATAATAAATTAAGTGGTTAAAAAAAGTATATCATACACATACACAACTTAATTACTAGCTATATCATTATTATTATTTTGTGCAGTTTACGTGGGAGAAAAAGTATGATTAAAATTGAGAAACATGAACAAATGAGGATGCATATATAACCTACTTCAATATATTAAAGCACAATTATTGTTGTTACATCCCGGTCTTATCACTAATTTAGATGATTTATTAATTAGTTGTAGTTTCATGTGACTAAATTAATCATTGTGATTAGGCTTATCTTGATTTTTCTTGTTTTGAAAAAAAAAAGAATCTTGGAGGTTAAGCTACATTTGGCATTTAATTTGAGATAGTGATTTCGAATGTCTAAAAGTCAACGTGATTAGTGTTAAATCATCTAGTATAACATATTAGTATTTGGACTTCAAGAAAGAAGCTCTACTTCCCAGTAAAAGTATTATCATTCCTTCACAATTTCATGAGTTGATCTTTCAAATGTGAAGAAACGCGTTATTATTTCATTTTTTTATGGATAAAAATTACCTCCTCGTCCAATGTGGTGGTGTTCGAATTTTCAGAGTTAAATGAATTTTTGTTTGATCACAATTCTTTTGTATGTTTTTAAATATTTTATATTATTAATTTTTGTGATTTATAATATATTTTTTATGTAGTTTCTAATTATATAAATTTTATTTCAAATTTTTTAAAATTTCTAAGTCTTATAAATTCACGGTCAAAATTAAGAAATTTCACTCCCAAAATCTCTAGTAATTTTGTATAGGTTTTTCTTGGGCTAAATCAACCCCAAAAAAACTTTTAACATGACATGATATAATGTTCTTTTGGCCAAGCTTACACTAATTTTTTTCAAAAGGCCCAGCTCGCACCATTAAGAGATCATACACTTTCACTACAATAAAAACAATTTTTAGCGGTAATAAATAGACACATTAATATAGAAAGCTAAAGTCTTATCGGTATTAGTTAAGTGTCATTAGATTCAATGTCGCTAAAGCCTTTAGGGACATATACAAAGAGTGCTAATTGACGCTAAAAGTATAGATTTAGCGGCAATTGCTAATTAATTACCGCTAAAGATCATTTTTGATGTAGTGTTTGTATGTAGCTTTCCAATCTTTTTAATTATTAATATGAACTTTGTTCGCACACCCAACAATCTTCCCCTCGGACGAAGTTCCACATTACTCATTACCACGATTAAAGGGTCTTCTATTCGAACTAAGTTCTAGTAATGACTAATGACTCGTTCCTTCATTATTAAGGCCTTACGCTATACAACCGTAAGAATTAAATTTTTTTATACCTTATATGTAGCTTCTCAATCTTTTCCGCTATCAATATGGGATTTTATTTGCTCACCCAATAACTTTTATTAGAAATTTAAATATTCAATCAGAACATGATTTAATTCGAGCGTCTAAATAGAATATCTTGATAAATTTTAAAGAGTGATTATGTGTTAAACCTAAATTTAATTTGTTTAACTATACGAACCAAAGAGGTGATCATTGTAGGCAACTAGTGTTTAAAATGAAAGGGAAAAGTAGTTAAGAAAAAGGAGTTTACTTTGAAAGAGTAAAAGTAGTTAAAATAATTCCAAATTTATAGCGTGGTCGTCCCCAAAAGTCTATTCCACGTGCTTACCCCACTCATCCAACTATTACATTACAAGCTATATAAATAAATATAAATCAGCACATACGCAATAAGTGTGAAGAAAACAGCCCTGCCCTTCCCTGCCCTGTTATACTCTCTTTCTCCTATAATTAACATCAACAACAAAGACCTCTTTCAATACTCTCTATTGCATCTCCATTTTCTTGCTTCAGGTAAACTTATCCTATCAAATTTTGGTTCATCTGTCAAATGGGGTGTCTTGGAACATATTTTAATGGACAAATTTTTGTATCATTTTGATTCTTTTTTGTGATTTACCAATGGGTCATACTGCTATTTAAGTTTTGTTTGTTACTTATATCCTTTTCTGGATAAAGAAACAGTCTCTGCCTTTTTTCTTGGGACCAATATCTTTATTTGACCACTCCAAATTTGTTTTAACTTCATTTCTTGATTTGTGTTTTGCTAAATTTGGTATCCAATGTAGCTCTCCTACTTTTGGCAGGATTTTAAGATCGATCTTGAACGTCGTATGGGGATATCGTTTTCGTGTCCACTTGCTTCTCATACTGATTTGGAAAACAGTCTTGAATCTGTTATTGTGAAGTCTATCAACTTTGGTGATAATGAGCACAAGACGCCATTACGATCTATTAGTTTCAAAATCCAAGATTCTGAACCTATAGTAATGCAATCAGATGGTTCAGGAAATATGCTCATAGAAAAATCTGTCATCTCAAGGACAAAGGAAAATGTAGTTGCCTATCCATCTTCAGATAACATGATGAATCAACAAAGTACGAAATCGCCTTTGTTGGATAGTAGCAGCAGCCCGAAACATGAGGCAGCTGTAAAGTTGCAGAAAGTATACAAGAGCTTTCGAACAAGACGAAAATTAGCAGATTGTGCTGTACTCATTGAGCAGAGTTGGTATGTGTTTTTTAATCTCCTTAGAAAAGATTTTATTTTTAAAGATTTTTGCATTTTTCTGACACCCTTTTCGATTTGTTACAGGTGGAAACTATTAGATTTTGCAGAACTCAAACATAGTTCTATTTCATTTTTTGATCTTGAGAAGCACGAAACAGCAATTTCGCGCTGGTCAAGAGCGAGAACTAGAGCTGCCAAGGTAAATTTAGATCACATCAATGGAACATTATTAAAGTTGTTCTTAAATTTTTTAAATTTGACCAACTTTTTTGTTTATTTATGTAGGTAGGCAAAGGCTTATCTAAGAATAGCAAAGCTCGAAAACTTGCTTTACAACATTGGCTTGAAGCTGTAAGTAAATAGTTTATGGTTTCTTGATTTTATCTTTTTGATCAATTATGTATTATCTGGCACTAACATGGATGTGGTTTTATGTGTAACAGATCGATCCACGACATCGTTATGGACACAACTTGCATTTCTATTATGTTCAATGGTTGCATTCTCAAAATAAAGAGCCATTCTTCTACTGGTTGGATATTGGAGAAGGAAAAGAAGTTAATCTTGTTGACAAATGTCCGCGATGGAAACTTCAGCAACAATGCATCAAGTACCTTGGTCCTGTATGTCTTAAGTCGTTCTACCGGCTTTCCATAAATAATTTCTTGCATATTTGATATTTTTAACAATTACTTACCATGATTTGTTTCTTTTCTTTGAAAATAGATGGAAAGAAAGGCTTATGAGGTCATAGTGGACGACGGGAATCTCTTCTACAAAGAGACTGGGAAGCTCCTTGACACCACTGGTGAACCAAAAGGAGCTAAATGGATATTTGTCCTCAGCACATCGAAAACCTTATATGTTGGGAAGAAAAAGAAAGGAACATTTCAGCATTCCAGTTTCTTGGCTGGGGGCGCGACTTTAGCTGCTGGCAGGATAGTTGTGGAACAAGGAGTTTTGAAGGTATAGTGGTAATCTTGAATCACTAGAAATGTTTTTTCTTCAATTTCGAATCAGCAGCTTATCGATGAACATCCTTTGGATGCTAACTCTTTTCTTGTTTTGGCTGTTTTCAAGCAGGCTGTCTGGCCTCACAGTGGACATTATCGACCTACTCCAGAAAACTTTCAAGACTTCATTTCGTTTCTTAGGGAGAACGATGTGGACTTAAGCGATGTTAAGGTACATAATTACACTTTACTGTTGATCCATGATTTTCTCTAACATTGTAGATTCCAATGATGATTAGTATGAAATGATGCAGCTTGATTCTATCGACGAAGAAGATTTTATTGGGAAGAAGAGTGGTGTTTACCTTAGAGGTAATGCTTCGGATGATGACATAGGTCAAAAAGATGGTCTGGAGACAGGAGAGAACGATTTAGAAGACGTAACGACTTCAGATACAAATGAGTTGAAAGAACAAGCAACTTTTGCTGCTTCATCTCATAGCTTCAATGACAAACTAGCTAATCTACGAATTCCTAGCAACGATGATTTACTAGAGAGATTGACGAATGAAAGTGTAGCTGTTGAATCCATTTCGCCAACAGATGGATATGAATCAGCAGAAGATTCAATTGCTTTTGAACAAGAAAGTAAAGGAGATACAATTCCACAAGAATCTATACTGAAGAGGATAAATTCACACAAGGGAATGAAGTCATTTCAATTAGGGAAACAATTGTCTTGTAAATGGAGTACTGGAGCTGGACCTCGAATCGGATGCTTGAGAGATTACCCTCCGCAACTGCAATCACATGCATTAGAAGAAGCTAACTTGTCCCCGAGGAGTGCTTGTCGTCTCAAGTTTTATTCAAGGGCATCAAGCTTTAGTAGGGAAACGCAAGTGCCATGTTCTATCTAATCACCTATTCGTCTCCATTTTGTAAAGGACTCATATTCGTTCGATCAGGGAACATCATACTCATGACATAGAATTAGTTCTCATTTATTCATTCATTGTGCATAGCAAAAATGACATAGGAATTCTTTCACATTCTTTCTAGGAATTTTTTGACAGTTTTTTTAAGATCTATTCAACTTTGTATACAATTCTTGTTCTTAATATCAGAAAACAGGACCACGTATAACTTTTCGAGTTCCAATACGCGTTGTAGTTGGAAAAGAAAGAAATGAGAAATAAAAAGAAGAAATTTTACTTTCATCAAAGTTTCCTTTTGGCTGAAAATTTGCGCTTGAGAAGATTATTTTGATAGTTTTTTTTTAAAACTTAAATAGCCGTCTATCCAATCACTTAAACTAAAATTAGTTGATGGATATATAACACAAGTATAATATGTGTCCGATGTATAATTTATGTAGATCGCCTTTGATTGCCCGATTTCAAAAGTCCCCCAGTTTCTGTCTAATCATTTAGTAAAATAGAGATCTACTTGTTAAACTTTGATTCTTTGATGTAAATCTTGAATGCTGACATACAATATAGTATCAGTAGATGCCTTGTGTATAGTTATTTTGTATAAAGTTTTCAAAATGCGCTAAAATGAACAAATATTTACATGTATGTATACTAAAATACTTGCACACATTCATATATAATGCTACTTGAAAAAAGAAACAATTATTTTTAAGAATATGCTACTTGCAAAAAGAAAAGCAAGGCCTAAAATTGATTAAATACGACGAATTATGTTTAATCAGAGCCATGTTTTTGAAAAGTTAAATAAAGAAATTGATCTCTATTACTTCTTCATTCGGGGTGGGGGGAGTAGAAAGGATACGATTGCTTAGAACTAGTGATACCATTAAAAATGACATTTAAAATTGGTGCGATTTGTGAATATATCCCTCCTTAAAATATTAATACATATATACCATTTTCATTTAATAAATGGTTCATATTCATTGGTTTTGTTAATAGATTTATATTTACTAATTTCTTTTTCTAAACTAGTTTCTTAATTCTAAAAATGTCGCGTGACTTTAAAAAATACTACCACATTCATTTTATTTTACCCCTCTAGACCCGATCCAAATGAAATAAAACTCAATTTCTCTTTTACTGTCATAAAATGGGTTTGGATCAGGTTTGAATAAAAGAGAAATTGGTTTTTTTAGTTGGATTGGGTCTCGGTCGGGTCTGGGGTAAAAAAATGGGTGAGGTAATTTTTTAAAGTAATGTGACATTATTAAATTAAAAACCCAATTTTAATTTCTTTTTAATTCAATCTATTAATGAAAATGGTCAACATGCATTATTTATTAATGATTAAAGGTATATATATGCACCATTTGTTAAACAACAAGAATAAATATGCACCATTTTTTATAACGAATGATTTTTTTTTTCTCTAAGAAGCAAAGTTAGGGGACATATATGCCCTTTTTCCCTTTCAAATAACCTAGGAGTATTAGGCTTTTGACAATCACCTACTAGATGTAAACATCACAGGTAGTCTGAAAAAGAGTGATGCAATGCATAACTACTTAGAAGTAATCAATTAATTAAATGTTAATAATTGAAATATATATGTAAACTGTAGGGAACAATTGGTGCATATTGATTCCCAATATGTAAGACACATTGGTAGGCACATGTTAACCTACATCAAAGCTGTCGATGATGTTGCTTTTAAGCTCAAAAAGTACATTTAGTGGGTGAATATAGTTGAGACTTGTTAATTAACGTGGAACCTTCATGTTTGATATGGGGGACATTTTCCCCATCTTTTGTTGCTTATAATATTTTGGAAAAAATGTTCTTTACAGAAACACTCCATCTTTAAGCACACTTTTCTTTTTTAGATCATCAATAAAAAGAATGTTATTATTTTATAATTAGAAATAATTTAACTTTAAATTTTCTATATATTCTTAATAAAATAATTTATAGCAATATAAATTTTGTATCAAATTAAACAATGCCACATAATTTCAGACGAAAAGAAGTGAGTTTCTTAAAATTGAGGAAAATGATGAGGGGGAAAAAAATTAAATTTTACAAGCAAACATTCTACATCGATTATCTCCTCTTTACCCTCAACATTTCACGCCACACGCCACCCCGTACCTCGAGATTATATGTTGAACAAATATAGTTTTGTTCTCTGTTCTCTCTCCCTTTTTAAAAATTATTACTCCCTCAGTCTCAATTTATGTTGACATTTTTCATTTTTCAAGAGTCAAACAGTTTAAGTTTGACTGAGAATTTACGCATGGAGTCTTCGATTTTTTAAAAATGAAATTTATATAGTATTCGTAAATTACGTAAAAAAGTATTATAAGTCACAATAATTGATAATTTAAAATGTTTAAGAGATCTATGAAAAACTTACGGTCAAAGATAGACTTGTTTGAATCTCGAAATTCAAAAATGTCACATAAAATGAGACGGAGGGAGTATTATTATTATTATTATTATTATCTTCTTCTTCTTCTTTTTTCCCTTTTTTTTTGGTTGGAATTTTTAGTTTTCTATTTATTCAAATATTTAATTTCATGTTTTCTTGTTTATATTAGGCAAAAGAGAACATAATGCATAACCATTGACAATATTATCACCAATAAAAACGGCAATTACACACTAGATCTCCCCACCCCACCCAATAGTGTTTGTTTAGAATATTATACTCCCTCCCTCCGTCCAATAATAGTTGTTTACTATATTATTTTTGGATGTTCAATAATACTTGTCCACTTTATGAAATCAATGGATAATTTTACAATTAGTTCTTAATTTACTCTTATTATTACTTATAATCATTTCCCTTTTACATTTTTTCAAGAAATTGTATTTATTATATTTAAAGGGTAATATAATAAAATTATCTTTCTATTTATAGTTTCATAAGAAGTGTGCAAAGTCAATAGTGAACAAATATTGTTGAATAGATCAAGTATACATTTTCTCTGTGCAACAACAATTGTTTAAAATTGACTTGACACATTAAGAATCAGTAAATGATAGAGATAATTCTACTAAGGCTGGCAATTGGACCGGTTTTTGTCCGGTCCGGTCCGGTTCCCGTACCGGTAAGTCCGATACCGGTTGAACCGGTAAGGAATCGGTACCGAAACGGAACCCGGATTTTTATCCGGTTGATCCGGTTCGGTAAGAACCGGTTTCGGTCCGGTTCAACGGTCAATTTAATTATTTTTTTTATTTTAAAAAAAAAAAAAAAAAAAGTTGAACGTTATAGAGCCGTTGGGCCCTTTTAGCCGTTGGGCTGGGGCCCAAAACTGCTCCAAACAGCCCCCCACCCCTGTCTACCCCTTAACACTATAAATATACCCATATTTTTTCATTTAAATCACAAATTCACAAACTATTTCATTAATATCTTATAAAATCTCTTAATTTTCAATCTCTCATAAATTCATAATTATTATTTTGTGATATTGACTTGGAGTTCGAATTTCGGAGATTTATTTGAAGTAAATCGGAAGCTTCAATTGGCATCTCTCAATTCCGGCTTTGGTTATACGTCTACTTTTACGTAGACATTCGGTACATTCGTTCCAACTTTTAATTTTTTATTTGTTTATTAATTAAGTTAATTTTTTTTTGTTATATTATCTTTGCTTGTTTTTCATAATATTAATTATTTTAAACTTGAACATGAATTTGGAAAAATATAGTGGTAAAAGACCAATGTCGGAAAGAAAAAATAATAGGGGAGGAGGAAGTAGTTCTAATTCTAAAAATTTGCCACCTCCTAGATTTAGAATTAATACTAATGATTATACTCATGTTGATGAAACTTCTTTTACACGAGACTCACGACCTATTGAATTTAATTCCGAAAATGAAGTAGATCATGAAACTTTAAATAGATGCTTTTACTAATTTTGAGGAAGAATTAGATGAGGAAGTAGAAATAAATGAGGAAGATGATGAGACCCCTACCCCTACTAGTCCGGCTATCGAATTACTGGAACAGGATGAAGTCCCCTCTTTACCTACTTTTTCAAAGACCGTTGTACGTGTTAAAAGATCTTTAGTATGGAAATTTTTGGTACAAAATGAGGAAAAAACTACTGTTACTTGCACGAAATGTAAATTGATCATGAAACATGTAACTACGGGTACACAAGGGGGAACGGGACGACTAAGAACACATTTGAGAAAGTGTAATAAAGAATTTGCTCGCCTAGAAGATATAGAAAGGGCTAATAGAAATGGAATACCTCAACCTGAAAATTCTATGGGAGCTGGAGGTTCTAATATGGTTCAAAGTGAATTAAATATGACTAACCCGGCTAGCCGAAGCACACACCGCACATATAGTAAAGAAAAAGATCGTAGAGAATTAGCTAAAATGGTTGCTGTTTGTGGTTTGCCTTTTTCATTTCCTTCACATCCTGGTTTTATTCAGTATATTCGGGAATTGTATAACCCAGATTATGAAGGTATTCCAAGAAGTACAATTAAAAGTGATCTTTTTAAATATCAAAAAGAATATTGTCATTTTCTTCGTTGTTTATTTGCTTATTATGATGGTAGATTATCTATTACTTCTGATATGGGACGTAGTCCTAATGGTAATGATTATTTTACAATTACTGTCCATTGGATTGACCATGAATGGAACATGCAAAAACGAATATTAGGATATAAATATGTTGAAGAAACTAAAACCGGTGCTTATATAGCAACAAAAATAGGCCTTGTTTTACAATTTTATGGAATATGTGATAAAATAATGAGTGTCACTTTAGATAATGCTTCTAATAATTTGAAAGCAATTGATTATTTAAAATGTAGACTTTGTCCAATTGATAATGATTCTTTTCATATTAAGTGTGCCGCACATGTGTATAATTTGATAGTAAAGGATGGTGTTTCTCAATTTGGAATTTCTTGTGAAAAAATTAGACTTGCTTGTAATTGGATTTTTAAAGCTAAAATAAAAGCTAGAATTATAGAATTTAAAAATCGTTGTAAAGAATGTGGACTTGAATATAGAAAAGTTCCAAAAGAAGTATGCACTAGATGGAATTCTTTATTTGAAATGCTTCAAGTTGCTTATATTTATCAAGAGCCGGTACAATTAGTTTTTAATGCTCATAATGCGGACCCGAATTTGAGAATTGGCTATGAAGATTGGGAAAATACAAAAGAACTTATTGAATTTTTAAGTGTTTTTTATAAAGCAACAAATGCTGCTTCTG